CACACAGATGCAGATATATATATATATATATATATATATATATATTCTCATAACCCATTCAGTCACATAATCACAAACTTTTATGTAGCCCTTACCTATATTTGCACCTCCACATGTATATATCTAAATCCTTTACATACAAACATTCACAAAAATGCAAGCACAATCTACACCTGAATGAGTACAATCATCCACATAGATACACAAATGCTCATCATGCACATGCATTCACAAAATCACATAAATAATCCCTTACCCAGGTAAACACAACACACACACATATGCATACTTCATCCTCAGACATACCCTCTAACACATGCACATATGCTGTGGTCAACCATACACTCACACTTCCATGCATACATGCACACACACTGACACACTCACATACAAACACCTTTCATCCATATACTTTCTCACACACATTTGATATCATTTTTTAATCCAGACACCAGCTTACACATTCATATACACCTGTTGGCACATATAATCATGAATACACATAAACCATTAACACTTTTTGCATGCACAGAGGAAGAGATGAAGAAATATTCTACTTCATATAAACACATACAATAGCTATTGGTCCTCTCATTCACATTTAAGCCCAGCACCTATACACTTACCCACATATGCAATCATAATTTCATGCATATATTCATGTATGTTCATACATATATTTACCAAAAAACACACATACATAAATGTACAACTTCTTTACTAATACACTGACTCATAATCACCCTGTACATACACCAGCTCACCTATAAAGTCTCAGACATATATACCCATCCCTCTCTGCTATATAAGCATGAGTATGTACATATATACCACCTTCACCCATATACTCATTCAAATACACATTCACTCTTCAATTTACCCATTCACACATACATACATCTCACCAATATGCTGACACATACATAGGCTCATACACAGCTATTCACCAATACACTCACACAGGTATATACCTGTATATATTATATATATACATTATATATATGTTATATATGTTATATTATATATATATGTATATATTATACAGCCCCCACTCATGTATTTACAACCATATACCCACACAGTACCTCCACCATATATAACACATACATAATGCATGTAATATGTTACATACAAATACGTATATAACCCCTCACCCAACTCTCAAACACATTCATGTATATATGCTATCTTAGCCATGCTTTTAAACATACATGTACATTTATACCCTTAGCCCCATATTTATAAATATAACCTCTCATGACCATATTATCAAATGCACAGAAAGTCATACATATATATGTATATGTATATTCTTTAGTCATACATTAATACACAAATATACATAAATATCACCCTATAGCTTATACACTTACACATAAATAAATGTATACACATACTCATCTTTCAACCACACATTACAGATATGCTGTCATCCATACTCTGAAACTGACACACATTAACATATCCTCAGAAAGGAACATATGTTCTTCGCCCTATCCCCACATACATACATACTTCATTTATTTATATACACACAATTCACACACAGGCACACACACACACATGCACACACTCCACACCAGAATCAATATACCCATCACCCACCTATACATTTACATACACATATACATACCATTATATGGTACTCACCATTCATGCATATATGAATGCACATACATATACAAGCTCTCAGTCGATAGCTCTCACAGACAGAAGCATATGTATCCCCTCATACACAGAACACATACATTTAAACTCCTTTAACACATAAACTTACCCACATATACACACATTTATGTATATATCTCTCATCTAAACATACATGTACACACACCCCTTCATTCATACATTAATATACCCACACTACTACATACAATCCCACCCATACATAAATTAATTCACATTTATAAACAACTCTCTTTCCCATACACTGACATCCACATGTACATGCACAACTCCAAGGCATATTCACACACACTCACAGTGCATATATACCTTCACTCTTAAATTTATATGCTCCTATATATGTGCATATATTTTCATTTGCACATACAGTCACACACATACCTGGGCATAGAGCTCCCAATCACTCCTGCATTCAACCATCACACGTGTACATATAAAGTTCCCTCACTCTTATACTCAAATACACATATTCATAATGAATCCCCACCTGTACACTCACATAAATTCACACACACTTTTCTTTCCATATACATGATCTGTCAAACATACATTTATACCTCTTCATTCATCCATTCACATATGAATATTCACCCTTTCATCTCTATAGGTATCAGCACATATGCACAAATACATATACAATTCCCCACCTAACCTCTTTCATACACATTCAGCCATATACAACATCCACCCAAACCTTCATACCCACATATATATGCATATACCCTTAATTCATGCACTGGTACAAACACTCCCACACAGACACACATAGGTTTGTATACACTCCTTCACTCATTTTGTCTTTCACAGATGTGGCTACCTACATATACACATTTACATATGCACCTATATAACCCAGTTCTATATGTGTTGCTCATCCATTCTCTCTCACACACATAAGATCACATACAGTGTTTACACAAACATGTGGGTACATATATATGCTTCTTATTCACTCTTTCTTATGTGCATGGGTACTTATATATCACCCTCACTCATACACTCACATGTACTCATACGCACAAGTAGAGATAATCCCTCATCTGTTTTTTTTCTCTCACACACTAATACCTATACACAGCACTAGACACACACATGGAGAGCTATATATGATATCTAAGTACAATTCACATGCACACACCTGCACACACACACACACACTTTTTATTCATTTGAATTCTTACTCAACATCAGGAATTCTCATACATTTGAAATTCAACCATGTCCTCCTAGATATTTTTGGACTTCAAGTTGAGAAGCACAGTGTCAAACAGATATTGAAAAAAGGAGTGTTCTTCCTCCCTCCTCCCACTATAACATAGGACAGTGATTCTCCTGATATCCTGAGATGCTGATGGCTGTAGCTATCGGTCACATCTTTTCCAGTTTGGGTGGGCCTTAAAAACAGCCCTCCCTGTTCTCACCCTCCTCTCCCCTTCCCACCCTTTCACTTCCACTCAGAGGTTGCAGAGGGCCACAAGTTTTCCCTTCCATGCTTCAGGATGCCAGAAGAGAGCAAGTGCCTTTTCCTGTTCTTGCATTTCTATTTTTAATTACAACTAACTGGGGAACAGAGTGAAACATTTTAGCAATTTAATCTTAGTGTAAAATGGTGTATTTTCACTTCATTAACTAAAAGGGAAATCAAATGGCTTATCAAAGGTTGAGCTTCACATTTGCATATGGGTCTGAGATTCATGAAGCAGGATTTGTAACAGCTATAAAAGCTTCCATGATTGTCTCTGGGGACCACTGGCTTTATCATTTTGACTGCAGCATTATAAAATGACATTTGTACATGAAGTAGGATGAATACACTTTCTGAAGTCATCTTTGCTTGCTGGCTGTATCCCCAAAATGAGCCAAAGAGAAACATGTGAAACTTTCAATTGTGTAACCCAATCACCCCAAAAGTTAGCAACAAAACAATTATCTCACAGTTTTAGGGTCAGAAATTTGGGTAAAACTTATCTGGGGGCCTCTAGCTCAAATGTTTTTTTATGAAGTTTCAATCATGAGTGCACTTGGAGTTGCAATCATATCAGAGTTCAACTGTGGGATGATCCACTTCCAAGTTCATTCACATAGACTACTCCAAATGGTTGTATCATGGTATGAGAGCTGTCTTCACCAATTTCTTTCTGGGTTCTTGTCTCACAAAATGAAGAATAAAATCCACAGACAATAATAGAAGGGAAGAGTAAATGGAATAGGATTTATTTAAGTGAGAAGAGAAGAGATTGAACTCCCATAATGTGGGATGGGACCTGACAACATGCAAATCCATTTCGGTGTGCTAGCCTAGGGGTTTATATAGTTTTGCAGGGTATGAACATTGACCAAAACCTATGTTAAACAGGCAGTGAAAAAGTAGCAAAGTTATGGTTGTGTCCTTTAGCCTTTGAGTTTTAATCCTTTCTGTAACTCCCATCTGGGTTCATTCCCATCTTTAGTTCTCAATAAAGGAGTTGAATGAAATTTTCTCACAGGTAAGCCTCATGGTCTTTACATATGAAAAAGGCTTGATGGAGCCCACTAATATTTCTATTGGTTAGTTTGGTATAGTCTTTGCATTTGAAAAAGACCTTAATTGGGACCCATTAACCTGATTACCTGACCATTATCTGTATTTATTCAATTGGATCATAAGGGTTCTGCCCACATAAGTGGATTAATCCATTTGATGGGTTTATCCACTGTTAACTGAATAGACTATTGGGAGGTGGGAACTAGTTGGAGGAAGTACATCACTAGAGGTATAACCTGGAAGGGTTTATATTTTCCATGCTCCTTCTCTGCTTTCCAGCTAAGCAACTTTCCTGCACCATGTCCTTTTGCTTTGAACCTGCTGATCATGGACTGAACCTCTGAAACCATGGACCAAAATAATCCTTTCCTGCTTTAAGTTGTTCTTGTCAGGTATCTTGTTTACAGCCGTTCAAAGCTGACAAACACAGATGGGATGACCCAAGAGTCTTGACAAGAGAAAGCATTGGGGGCCATCTCGAAGGCCACTTTGGAGGTCATTTACTTCAAATTGCAAGGGGGACTTAGAAGAGAAAGCATTATTGAAGGTAGAGGAGAAATATGGGCTCCTGGGCCCCTCTTCAGGCCTTCCAATCCTCTTTCTTCTTTCTGGAAAATTCTCCACACTTCTAGAAAGCTCTCAGAGTGTTTATCATTCATTGATTTATGATTGAAACAAATGATTATTATTATTAATGTTGGCATTTTTGGGAACTCCTTGTAGTACTTGTGGATGCAGCCATTAAAGCCATGAGAAAGGCTCAATGATTCAGTATAAGAAACTGTGTAGTGTGCTCACTTTGGCAACACTATATACTAAAATTGGAATGCTACAGAGAAGATTAACATGGCCCCTGCACAAGTATAACATGCAAATTTGAGAAGTGTTCCATATTTTTAAAAAATAATGAAATAAAAAGAAAAAAGAAACTTTGTAGTATTCTTCAAAAATGAAACAAAATCCTAGGGTTAGGGGACAGACAGATGAGGATGTAGGAACATGAAGTTAAAGGAATAATTCTATAAAATGGGCCTATTGTGCTGACTCCCATATGCATTTTTTTTTTTGGCCAAGAAGCAATTTGCCTGCAGCTCTTCCTGGCTTAAGTGGACATGTTATAATGTCCAAAACAATGTTGATTGGAGGAACCTAAGTTACCCTGAAGAGGGGAACTTTTGTGACCCTCTCTACAGACCAGATCCTGAAACTCAGGGAGTTTAGGATAATTCCTCCTAACCAGAAAATCTGTAAGAATTTATGTTTACAAAGCCAATATGAAACAGCATGGACCAAGGTAATCTAGAGTTGTCATGGCAGTGAGAACTTGAAAGTCTGATGTTAGTCAAAAGTCAAGAGGTGGACATGGGCAGGACTCTCTGGAAAGTTCTCTGGGATCCCCAATAAAACTGGAATTCAGGAGAGGCACACTGTCCTCTCTGAGAGGACCCACTCTTTCCCTTGAGAATGTTCCCTTTCCCTTTTCCTATCCCTTCAATAAGTGCATGCCTGATACTCAAAGCAGCACGTCTGAAATCTTTCTGACTTGATCACAAAAATTGGGTTTTTGGGAGGTGTGACTTCATACTGCTTCAGTTTCTTGGAAGGCCCCAGTTCTGTTAACAGTAGGAGCAGGCAGGATTGAAAACAGAGATCATGAAGGCTGTCTGAGAGTTGCTTTTTGAGTTTATAAGGAAGGAAGAAAATTAGATTGGATAAATAGTTATCAGAAAGAGTAGCTTTGGGATGGAAAGATGGAAAGAGATCCTTGAGAATATTGTGCTGAATCTTATAGGATGTATTTTCCTCCTCAACCCTCCCTATCCTCTCCCATTTTTTCCAAGTTCATTTAGTGAAGTCCTGCTTTACTCTTCAAAACATTCTGAAATTGGATTGTGATCTTTTTTGCAGAAACACTGTGCTGAGATTGGCCTCGGGGTAGTCTGCTTTTATTTTAGTTACATGTTGCTCTAGTTCATGCTATGCTTTGAGGACCCTACCATATCTTAGCCTTTGGTGTATCCCCATGGTTTGTCTCAATGTTGATATAAAGTGGGTTTCATAAAAAATGTTTCTGAGATCAAGCCATTCAGGTAAATCCAAACATTTCTATAGAATATCTATCTTATACCAGAAAATGTGCTAAGCCATTTAGAGGGGAAACCAAAATCTTTGTTCTTCTACCCTAGATATATAAAACTGCCGCAGTCTGGCTGGGCACAATCAGGAGCCACTTGTCAAAAGAAACAAACTTTATTTTTAGAACCACACAGGCCAAACAAAACAGCCTCTCAGGAAAAACCTTCAGAGCCCAACTGCCATCACCGGCTTCCCACAAGCCTCTCACCCTGCCCTCAGGGAGCAGTTTACCTTATCATTTACCCTCAATCGTTCCCTGTGCGGCCCACCAAAATGCCACAGTTTGGCTGGGCACAATTCAGGATTTTGATTTCTAAGTGGCTGGATTACTTTGTTAACATAAATTTGACACATAGTTGGGCTGTTAGCCATCCCTTGAGGGAGTACTTTCCATTCATATCTCTGATCAGGACCCACATGATTCAGTGCAGGGATAGTAAATGCAAAACGTGGACTATCCTCAGGATGAATTGGAATTGAAAAAAAAAACAATCTTTAATATCTATAACTAAAACATACCAGGTTTTTGGCAAAGCCGACAATTGAGGAAATCCCCTATTGAGCAGGTCCCATAATAACCATCTCATTATTAATGGCTCTTAAATCTTGCAATAATCTCCATTTACCAGATTTCTTTTTGATGACAAAAATGGGAGTATTATGGGGAGATACAGAAGGTTGTATATGTCCTTCCGCTAATTGTTGTTTGACCATATCATGGGCTGCTTGTATCTTTTCTTTAGTCAGGGGCCACTGAGGAACCCATACTGGTCTTTCTGATTTCCAAGTAATTTTTATTGTCTCAGTGGCCCTCTCTGAAAATCCAACCCATGTCTGTCCGTTCCTTGATCTATTTGTATTGGTGCTGCTATACCTTGTTCTTGTTTTTCTAATCTTTTTCCTTTCCTAAAACCTTGTCTAGTCATAATAGTGGGTGCATTTTGGTTGATGTTATTTGTTAATGTCAAACCTAATTGATCTAGGACATCTCATCCCCATAAATTTACGGGAAGATGATCCAATACATATGGCTGTATAGTTCCTTCACATCCTTCAGGATCCTTCCAATCTAATACCATTGCACTTCTATGGGGATTAGTCGCCACTCCTAGGCCTCGAAGCGTTTGAGTGGCTTGTTGTAATGGCCAATGTTTTGGCCATTCTTGATGAGAGATGATGCTATGTCTGCACCTGTATCCAGTAGACCATTAAATTCATGTCCTTGAATATTTAGTTTTAGCATGGGGCGAGAATCTAAATTTAAAGAAAGCATAGCCCAATCTACACCTGTGGAGCCTAATCCCTTGGATCCTCTTTCTACAGTACGACTGGAAAATTTATCATGTAGGCTGGGTATTATTAGTAACTGTGCTATTCTATCTCCTGGTGAAATTACTGATATACCCTTTGGAGAACTGGCTATAATTTTTATTTCACCTTCATAATTGGGATCAATTACCCCAGAACTTATCATAAGTCCTTTTAGAGTAGAAGAGCTGTGTCCCAATAATAAGCCTACTGTTCCTTTGGGAAGAGGTCCTTTTACCCCTGTGGGAATGATTTGAACTCCCATCTCTGGAGTTAGTACTGCTCTGGCGGAGGCACAGATGTCCAACCCTGCGCTCCCTCTGGTTTGTCTGATGAGGGATCTGATGGACAATGTGTCCTGGGCACTACCCTGATGGGGTTGCTGGGTTCCTCCAGTGCTCCATATATTTGTGGTTTTGGGCCCCGGAGCATTGGGCCCCCCTGTCCATTTTTTGGCAATGGAGCCTGATGCCTTTCTCCATGATATCTTGGATAAACACCTGGTCCTTGTTCGTTTTTTGATAATGGAGTACCCTCTATGGTGGTTTGAGATATATAAAACAATGGAGAGAAGAGCAAAGATATGAGCCAAAGTAAGAAGAACAGAAACATAATATGGCATGTACCAGGAAGGGTTAGGAAACACTATGAGTGTTGAGCCAGAGGCAAAATGACTTTTGGCTAGGGAGTGGAGGGCACTATGACTTCCTGAAGGAAGTTGAACTGGTCTTAGGGATGTCAAGACAGGTGGAACTTAAGACCAAGGGGGTGATACAAATAGCAAAAAATACTGTGGGAACTGGGAACCCCAGTGTGGCTCAGACTTTGGGTCTATACTCAATTGTTATTGGTGGGTGAGGAGAAGGAGGTGGCATTCTCAGGTTGGGCCTATATCCATAAAGCCTTGAAGACTCACTAAAGAGCTTAGGAAAACAAAAGGTTTTGAATAGGAGAATATCCTGTGCTTTGGTCATAAAAATCTGGCAATAGATTATTGAGTGAAACGCTTTGAAGAACTTTGGTCATGATCTAGGTGACAGGCAACATGCTATAAGCTTCTGGATCAGGGTAATGGTTAGGGTAGTGGGGAGGAAGAGCCAGATGGAAGAGTGAGAGCTGATTTGGTGAAGTAAGGAAGTGGGACAAGATGTGACTATTAGGCTTTAAGCCTGGGTCCACATTAGAAGGTTGTTTAGCAAGGCATGGGGAGGCTGGAGTAGAACAAATTAGAGGACCACGTGGTTAGCCAGGCTTTTAAGATAGTGATGACCATGGAATTGGATGATTTCACAAATACAAAACATAATATTCATTTAAGTTTAAATTTCAACTAAATATCAACTCAATTCTCGGTATTTGAGATAAGCATAACTATGGGATATAATTATACTAAAAATATTCTTTGTTCATCTGAAATTCAAATGTAACTGGTACTCCTGCATTTTTTTCTGGTATGCCTGAGTAACTCTGTCACTGGACTTTTAGGTTGACCTCCCTGGCATTGAAATAGTCATACCTCTTTCTAGGAAGGCAGTATAGAATAGCAGTGGTTAACTGTGTGGGCCCTGGTGTTAGACCTGCTGAAGTTCAAATCCAGTTTCTACCACTTATTAGTTGTATGACCTTGGGAAAGTGACTCAACCTCCCTGAAAACTCATCTAGAAATTGGGGAGAATGACTTCTTTCTTGACCACCTACCAGGGTGATTGTGGGGGCCAGATGAGGCAGCTGCATGCGGTAGCGCTTTGAAACCCACGGGGCATCATGAGGTACTGCAATTATCCCTGAAGAAGATGAATACATTGGCCTCATTAAGAAACCTGCTGGCTGGTGTGGGATTTGGGGCTCTAATTAATTCTAAATATCAAATACTAAGCTGCAGCTTTTTCTTTCTTTCTTTTCCTGGAAGCTGGTGGGTGAGGGGTTCCAGGAAGGCATTGTCCACGCACCCCCACCTCTGAGATTTCATGATGTCCTAAGGATAAATATTCTCCAAACAGCTTGCACTTAATTTCCCTGTAGCCGTCATGCAGCCGAGACCAGAGCTTCAGGTCCTCCTAGGTACCTGTGTAATTGTCACATTGGCATTCCCCAAACCTATTTCTGCTCAGCAGCTGCTGAATGCAGGCTGGGGGAGGAGTGGGAAGACTGAGTTCTGAGCACATCTCTCTGAAGGGGCAGGGCCTCTTATGCACACAGGGCTGTCATATAACACAGGGACAAGACAGGCACTGGAATCGATCACAGCCTGGCATTTGAATAGAATTCTGTGGAAAGGGCATATTTATCAGCAAACAAATAGAGGGGTGGCAGGTATCAGCACAAAAAGTGTGTGTATAATTGTGATTTTCCTCAAAAGCTTGACAAGCAAGTCAGGGCAATGTGAATGACAGTGAGAAGGCAAATTATTGCAATTCAAATCCCTTTTATTGCAATTCAAATCCCTTTTATTGC